ATTTATTTAAATTTGATCTAGCATGTTTAGGAACTTGGATTAATTTCTTGTTGGCATCCTGTTTGTAACAGAAATCAGCATTGGCAATGTGTGGCATACCACCTGAAATAGGAAAAGGTGCTGAAAAGGGCTAGCAAGGAGACAGGGACCTGGGGCCCTTTCATGTGGCACAGAGGAGACTAAGGGCAGGGGCTGAGGGGAGTAGGTCTAACTATAGACTTCGGTTATTTTAAGAAGAGTAACAAAGACAGTGGAACCAAACTCTTGGTAGTAACGGATGCTAATAAAAAGGCAGAGGGAATTTTTGTACAATGCAAGTTGTATTTTGGGAAACTCAGGCAGGACATAATGTGAAATTCCTTCCTAAGGTGAGTAGGGCAGGACTGACGCAGGCCCTTGAAGGAAACGGCAGAGCTTCCGTCATGGAAGGTTTCTAAGTCTCATGTGGGTAGCCCATTGGCAACAGCACTATTCCTAGGGGGAGGCTGGACTAGACACCTCCAGAGGCCCCTCCAGCCACCTTTTCTGTGGTCCTTTGACTACAGTTATAAGATGACGCAAGGAAACAGCTTGTATGAGGCTAAACTGTAACTTGCACAGTGGCAACTTTTGTCTCACCTCAGGTTTACCAGAGCATATGTGAACTTAGCCAGTGTCCAATTCTTTGTATAGAAAAATGGTTTTATTAAGGTATTTGTGATTATCATTCACTAAATATAAATAGCAGAACTTACTTGGTAAAGTGCTGAACTTGTGTCAGCCAGCCACATCTTGTGCCTCTAGTTCCAGATCTATAGCGTTATGCTACAGATTATTTTCAGCCAGCTTTGGTTATTAGGATTTACAGAGGCATCAGCAGACTATGGATGACTGTCACTGGTTTTCTCTCAAAGTCTCTTCTTGTATAGAGATTATCCAAAAAAAGGCCTTTTATATATGGGTCTTTTGAGGTCTCCAGCAACTTTTTTTTTTTTTTTTTTCTTAATCGTTAATTTCTGCAGTCCATGTACTTGTGTTAACTTTCCGAGGTCGTGTGTTCAGACCCCGGCAAGTTTTATGATTCCATCAGAACTAAAGTACGCTTAGAGCGCACTGGATTAGTGTGCTTTATTAATAATAGCTCAATTAATTTTGCATTCCAATTAAGTGGAAGACAATCTTGTCACTGACAAGTCTCTTTTCCATATTAAATCCATCCTGCTTCACGATAGATGCAGAGAATGAGAACGATTTATACACAAATGGATGAAGACAAATCCAAGCTCTTGTCTGCACTCCAGAAGATGCAAGCTGGCTTCAACTTCTACCTGCAGCCATGGCAATGAGATACCATTCTGCTGTCTGTCTGGGTATTCCCAGCCTGCTAGCTTCTCCCTGCCCACTAGCTCAGCAGAGCACGCAGCATAAGTAGAGGAGCTTAGGTGCACATTACTACTATCCGTAGAAATACCTGATGTGGAACAGTCAGGAGAAAATGTCAACAAGCTCTCAAAGAAAGGAGAAATACCTACGATCAGAATCATTTGGGCAGCAGCTCGAGAGACTGCTTTTGCCCCTAAGTTACTGCCTGGTTGGCATGCAGGCGACATGCAGTGTACATCTGTCCTGGGCACTAGCCAGCAGTCAGCTTTGTAACACTGAACTTCTCCAGCACAGTATCCTCAAGAGGACTGAATATTGTAAGTTTGTACAGGAAGTTTCCTCTTCTGCTGTTATTCATTCCACTGTACTTAGATTCTGATTTAACTGGAGATTTTATTATTTAAAAAAACCCCAATAATTGTTTAAACTCTGTTGGACAGTTAGCTTTATCTTACATTATCACACAATGAACAGAGTACATGTGGTAAACAACATGCTTAATTTCCAGGTGGCCTTGAATTAAACACATTATTATCTTCTTGTAATCAACTAATTGCCTTAATTTTCTTGCAGAATTGGTCCAGATGACCTCTTCTTTCTCTCCCCTCAGCTGTGCACAGCAGGACATAGAATCATACAATCACAGAATGGTTTGAGTTGGAAGGGACCTTAAAGATCATCTAGTTCCAAGTCCCCTGCCACGGGCAGGGGCCGCTTCCGCTAGACCAGGTTGCTCAAAGCCACATCCAGGCTGGCCTTGGAACACTTCCAGGAAGGAGGCATCCACAGCTTCTCTGGGCAATCTGTTCCAGTGTCTCACCATCCTCAAAGTGAAGAATTTCTACCTAGAATCTAATGTTAATCTACCCTCTTCCAGTCTGAAACGGTTAGACCTTATCCTATCATTCTAGAAGAATGCTGCCTATGCCACGGATGCAGTTTTGTGCTTGGGACCCTTGGGCAGTACTTCTCCTTTGCAGGAATTAAAAGCTGTAGAGATTATCTCAGTGTGCACCTCTAAGAACACAAACAAATATTTGTTGTACCTATAGACAGAAAAATTTGATCAGTGCTATGAAATATCCTGTTGTGTCATCACAAACCAAAACAAATGAGGTGCACTGTTGCAGCCTGAGAGCTGTGTAGAATAGGTCAATGGTTCCCAGTCCTGTCTTAGAAGGAAAATGAGCAGAGCCCATTGCTAGATGCAGCGCTGGTCTTCCTACAGCTGCTGCTGCTGCCTCTTTGAAATCACATTCTGGAAAGATTTTGCAGAGCCCATAAAAGTCCTGTGGTTTGCTGGTTTGTACTCCACACTTCTGTGGTCACAGAATCACTGCTCCTGCTTGGCTGGCAGTTCAGGAAATTCTCCCTTGTTACAGTTTCTTCTCTTTGTACACAGATGACTTTTTTTTTTTTTTCCCCCCCTGAGTAATTTCCCATATGTCCATTTCTGGGTCATAGACTTTTTATTTTCTGGATGTCTGATACAGAATTAGGTCAGGGCTGCCTCTCACTTACAATGGCAGTGGATAAAACAAGCTTGACTGCAAGTCAGTAACTCAGCAAAATCTCAACTCTGTCACATCTTAACATAAAGCTTCAGTGGATTCGATGCTTCCCATGACCAACTGCTATCAGTAGTTTGCAGCATTTACTATAATTTCAAACTGCAGTGAATGAACAGCGCAGTTTCTTATCCTTGAATCACAGGAACAGTTGAATCCTGGAATAAATTATTGCTTTTAAGTTGTTCTGTATTTGCAGGGAACTGAAGACACAAGAAATAAGAACTGCGGACTTAAACCTGCAACATGAAGAAACCAGCTCCAGTCCATGACCATGTAGTTCTATGACTCCATCTTCTCCTGTATTCAGTGCTGAGTAAGTTGGTAGATCTTTGCTTCTGTCCCCAGAGTGAAGAACAGACAGTCTGCTTTCTCACTGTCAGGAAAACAAATATTCCTCTCCCCTTCCCCACCTTCAGCTGCCACTGAAGGATATTTTCTGTTTTCTGAGACTTATTCAGTCAACTTCTCTTTCTGGTCATGTTGTAATCTCTCTGCATAACTGGATTCACTCTCCCAGGGCTCAACTGTAAATACACCAGGTCTTGGATACAGAAAGGACATGTTTCTGCCACAGAATAAGATACTAAAACCCACATATGATTATTCCAGACATCAAATTACTGGAGCTCTTTGCAGTATTGTGTAAAGAATTAATTGTGCACACACACACATACACACTTTCACCTTCTATGAAATAAGCAGACCAGACCCACTTTCCCCAGGAGGAAACTGGAAAGGAAGAACTGCCACATACATATTGAACTGGCCTTGGATACTGCAGGCAACACCTCTCTGAAACTGCCCAAGAAACTCTGAACTGCCCAGAAGCAAAGCAGCCCTGCAGACATATGCAGGACTCCTCCACCAGAGCTAGCAGATGGCAGGGACAAGAGATCCAAAAGAAGCTTGGAGGGAACAGCACAAGGGATGCAGCAGTGTTAACAATACACTGAAATAACTAACAGGGAGAAAAAGAAAAGAAGAAAAAAGCCAGCCCAAAACTGATAGAGATCTTTAATTTAAAAACCAAGTAAGTTTATTCATTGGGAAAGCGCAACAAAATACCCCAGGGATAGTGCATTCCACTCCAACAATTAAAATTGCATTAAAAAGCAGATAGGAAGGTCTGAGTCTTAAAGAGAAATGGCACAAAAGCTAGTGCTTTCCTTTGTTTCAATGTATTTATCTTTGGCTGACAGAGATAGTCACTGATTATTTTTTAGGTACTTAATTTACAACTTCATCGCTTCTGCTTGCAAGTCAGTCTGTTCCTTAAAGATGCTAGCTTAGGACTGGAGGACCATAATCTGCAGGCACTTAAAAGGGGACAGTTTTGAAAGAATGGGGATGTAGGGCTCAGTCACATGCTTACTGCTGAAAGGAGACCCAGCTGGGTGCCACTAGATATTCCCCCCAGCTTTTTCTCTCCAAAATGTGAAATATAACAAAACAAGTCAATAAGAGCAGTTCTGCTGCTGCTGAGGGGCTGCAAGCAGGGGAACAGCAGAGCACAGGACTACAGGAGCTTCCAGACGGTGTTGCTCAAGGGAGCACTTAGTTTCTGATCACAGAACCAATTTCTGCTGTAGAGGCAATTCTCTTGGAAATGTGCGGGTAGGTCTCATACCCATAGCAGCCTACTCCCATTCATACTTGTTACTGCACTTCAGCTGAGCTTTACAAGCCCAACAAGATTCTTTAACACATGACAAGTGTGTATTTTTTGCTAGCACTTTCTGCCCAATGATTTTGAAATACTGTATGAGCATCACTTAACCAAGCTTACAGTTCTCTAACATACAGGTCTTCTAAAGGGAACCGTGTACAGCAATTGTCTGCAACAAAACAGCATAAGTGCATCTGCTGAGTTCCAGTCCTGAACTTATCCTTCTCCTTATGAATTTTCTCTCCCAACCTATTTCTCACAGCAAGAACAACATTATTACATTTATTCTGCAAAAGTTTATTAATCTGAATACAGACAAGTGACTTCTAGTATGATTACATCCGTTTCCAATTCCGTATGGAGGTTGCCCGTCCAGTGCACATCAGCACAATCTCCTGGTCTCAGCTGTCTGTATTTGGTTTATGTCTCTTGGTTCTGCTGTAGTCCTGACGGTGACTGTCTTCAAAGGGTACCCGGCCCTTCCCCTTTGTCCCAGACTCCTCTGGAAACTTCTGCCCCTCAGCCAGCACCTGCCGAATAGTCATGTTGATGCGGGAGGACTGCAGGTACTTGGCGCAGACCTGCCAGTCCTCCTCAGAGCTGTGCCCGACGACGGAGCGCCCCGCCGGCAGCGCCTGCTGCAGGCAGGAGGGCAGAGCTGTCCCGTCGGGGCTGGGGAGGACCCGGGGCACGGCGTGGTACAGCAGACGGCTGAAGCCGGACATCACCATGATATCGCCACTGTGCATGAACATCGCTGTTGGGGCCTCCTCCCGCTTCAGGCCCCCAAGCAAAAATATTGAGGATTGCCCAAAACTAGAGACAGTACAAGGATGGAGAGAGAAAAATTCAGGTAGAGAATAGATGTATGTGCAGTAAGAAAATATTAGCAGCTAAATCCCTTAAAAAAAAAAAATCTCAAACAAGAAAACTAGATGTATTTCTAGTAATAACTTTATAACGAGAACATGAAACAAAGAGGCCTGGTTCAAGGTAGGCATAGTATGGCCAGTTGCTCTGCCAGGTTGGAAGCTGTGCTCAGGTATTTCATCCTGGCCTGCTAGTAGCCAGTTGCAGCTCTGCTGCTTAGAACAAAACAGTGCTCTCTGCAAAGAGCTCTTCCACTCTAGGCACCGCATCCATGCTATTCAAGTGGCCTTCAAAGAAAAACCTATGCCTTTGAGCTACAGCTTCCTACCATTCAAATCTTCAGAGAGTGAAGATTGTCTACCCAATTTGCAAACTGTGCCATATCAACTTCCTAAAAACATACACAAACATAGGAAGGAAAAAAAAGCCACCAGTCATTTCAGAACACTAGAGTGCTTTTCTTGACTCACCTGAATGATAAAAGGGGCCGAGAATGGTCCAGTTCGGACTCATCCACATGAATTCCTAGTGAAGAGTCAAAATGATAGTAGTTCAAGATGCCTGCTTGGGCTTGGAATCCCTGGAACCCACAGGCTGCAGCCACTTGTTCTGACAGGAATGCAAGGTCTGAGGGGAAAGGAGTGTGGTGATTTGCTGAGTACTTCTGGAGGAAGGAGAGCAGAAAAAAACAAACAAAAACCACATCCAGAACATCAGAGCAGCAAATACAACTGGAAAGAAACATTGAACGAGAAATCAGACATTTAACTGATAGACATGGAGAAGTACATCATATTTGCCTGGAAAATGACCACAACATAGGCAGAACCATAGCAAATTTACCTCCTCATTTAATTCGAGTCCTACACTAAGACTGCCAGGGATTCACTTAATCATGGAGTTAGTAATTACATCTAGATGGCAAACTTGAAGTCAGTAAAGTAAGTACTTAAGGTTAGTACCAAGTAAGTGGATCCTGAGGATCTACTTGGTCACCACCTGAAGCCGCCAGTGGCAGGGGCGCTCTGTATCTCATTGGGTCCCCCCCTGAAGCCGCCAGTGGCAGGACAGCTCTGTATCTCATCAACAGAGCTCTGAAACATGCATCTTTGTTCCTTCTTTGAAGGATAGGACAAGCAGGAATCAATTGCAAACCTACTTTTTCCTCACTCCCATGAGTGATTCCAAGAGGACTGCAAGGGAATAACTGAGTTTTTATTAAGGCCACCAATAATAGACTGACCTGGTAAATAAGGCTGCAAGCAGATTTGGTTAAGTATCTGCAATGTACTGATAAGACTGCATATTCACTCTGCCATCCTTTCTCTGCCTCTATCTGACACAGTCTAACAAAAAAATTTACTTCAGTCAGGAGCCCAAAAATAGCTGTTAGTTGGTGCAACTGCACTATACTGGTTCAGACTCTGAAGTTCAAAGTCACATCAGCAGCAGTCTCTTACTGCTCTCACTCACCCCTCCAAAAAGGAGCAGTTTCTCAGAAGCAGCTGTCTTCATTCAAGGCCATTCAGACCTTAAGCAGTTAACAATGCTTTTATGACCATCCCTTCTGGTAGGGTAAAAATGCTCATCTACCCCTAGAGCTGAGTATATACTACCATATTACCTTCCAAAGGAAAGAACACAGCAATGGACTTTTGCTCTTAAACCCTTCACCATAAACTAATAGAGATGAAAATGTTCTTACAAGCATGGTTTGTTGCAGCCTTTCCTCAAGACTTTCCTGTACAATCATAAGCATCTTGTTCCACATTGCCCTCCCCTGTCTGCCTTTCTGAGTGCTTACAGCTAAGAAAAATGAAGAATTTAATTTCAATACCTTAGTATCCCAATTATAATGGTAACCAAGGGTCACCCAGCGGAGCTTCTCCAGTAAGCTTCTGGGCTCCCATTTACTGGAACCTTTCCTTCTGCAAAGACAAAACAGAGCAATAAGATACCTGTTAATTTCCGAGCGCTCATCTGGTAGCACAGCAAACAGGAACGAGAACCACTCATTCACAGGACAGCCTATTAAACCCACCAGTGCTAAACCTTTATTTTCAGTGCCATTATTTTTTTCCTCCAAATACCCTGAAAATTCAGCTTATGCAAGCTGTAGGCCCTACTGCAAACCACTGTCAGTTTGAAAGCCTCTGTTTTCAACATGGTGCATAATGGATTATCAGATGGAGACAACACAAAGAACTGTTGCAGATTTAGAAGTCAGAGTTAAGCATGTACTATTTGAGCACCTGAAAATGAAAGAACAGAGTCTGTGAAGATCTGAAAGCTGCAGGCATGAGGAAAAGGTATCCTATGCACTTAATGGAAAATGGCAAGAAGGAAACATGCTTGGCCTGGCAGTGTATGAGGCTGCATAACACTGCAAAAAGGAGTGTTAGGTCTACTACTTGGTACTTTCACAAGAAGTCCTTGGGACAGACTGACTCCATGTTCAGTAAGAAGCAAGACTGCTCAAGCTACAACCATAAGCCTCATGTAATGTCAAGAAGTCTAGATTGCAGGTGTCTCCTACCCAGACTCCTGTGAGGGACAAAACACTGTTCTTCTCAAGCGGCAACCCCAATGGAGAAGGACTCAGCAGTCTGAAGCCACATGGTAGTTTACCATTCCCAAAGATAGTGAAGCCAGAAGGAGACTTCAGGGATGGGCTTTTACTATGGCCTATGGAAAAGTCCTATATATTACTACAGTAAATCAGATAGAAACATGCTAGTGACAAATACAAAAGGTAGGTACACATCTAGCTTCTAGCCCACTTATTCCAGAAATACCAGCTTCTTTTCTCAAGCTAAGTCATATCTTCTGGTAAAGAAAGAAAGAAGAGGGAAATTTACTCAGGACATCACAATAAACAGTCACACCAGACTCTCATTTATAGCCTCATCAGTTCAGGAAGACAAGCCTTCTTGCAAAACAGGATTTGTATTTGTGCTGCCATAGTCAAGTCTCAGCCAAGAAAATTCATTTAATGTGCATTTCTACCTGGACACACAGCTTGTTTCTGCCCTTCACCTACACACTGCTGGTAGTTCCTGAGCTAAAACAGGAACAGGTGTAAAAGGCCAGTTTCTTTACATTTAGTAATTTTTCATGGCTCCCTGATTATTGAAAGAGTCATCTTTTCACCTTCCATCTTTGTCATAGGGTAATAGCAACTGTAATTACCACAATTCAGAACTGTCAAATACATGCTGCTTGGAACAATTTATGGAGATGCGAGCAGGTAACACGGGACTTAGAAAAGGGAGAGCCCACAGCTCATTCTTCTACATCTTTCAATCAACAAACAATGTTCAGAACTAAACATTTTTAGCATGCGCCTTTTCAAGTGCCCTCCTCCTTCTTTGACTAGTGCTACAGTGTTTGTACAACAGCAGGAACCCAAACACCCTAACACGATAAGGTCCTTATCTACAGAACTTAGCATTGTCAATGTGATTTCACATGGGATTGCTAAGGAAAGGCAAGTCTGAGTGTTACGCAGCTGGAAACAAGTTGCTAGAGCCATAGCAGCTACAAGAAAGCACAGAGAAATTCTGGTGTAAGTGTTAGATGGACTGAACAGCACGGGGACTTTGGTCTGAAGCTCTCTTTTTTCTTTAGTCACTGGTAAATTACTGCATCTGTAAAGCCCCCCAGCCTCTTCCTTACACAGAAGAAAAAATATATATCCCTTCTAGGGATGCTCTACTCCCTCTTATGCTTTTAATTGTCCATGGCATTAAAGTAAATACCCAAACTCCACTTTGTGAAGAAAGCACAGCATACATTTGTAGGGATTGTATGGATTCTCCTACCTTGCGATTCCTGCATCCTGAAATGAGCAGCTAAGCCATGACCCGAGCATATTTATGCATTTATTCCTAATGGCTTTAAAAAGCACTGCAGTTCTGCCAAATCTTGGAAGTAGAGCTCTTTTCAGTAAAGCACTGTTTCTCCCCTCCCTGAAAGGTGCTCAACTCCAGACACTAGACAATTTGGCTAGTCTGATCCACTGTCCCCTAAATAAAAGTACAAATACAGCCATTTGCTCACTCGAGGACTCGGGCAATGCTTAATAAAACTGCCAGTGTTTCTGCCAGGCATCACTCTTCCCAACAGCGTTTTCAACTGAACTGGATTCAGGTGCAAATTAACCTCTACCACGATTGTTTTCTGTGCGCAGGAGGTGCTGCTGGGAAGCACCTGTCAAGCTGGAACACTATCCCACTTTTTTCTCCTGTAGGGCACAAGGCACAATACTTTCAAATAACAATTTTTAATCTGTGATGGAACACAAAAAAAGGTACCTGAATTTCTGTAACTAATTCTGACTGAGCCAAGAAAACACAAGTGGGGGCATAACTTCTCTCCAAGGTGCAAATATTTACAAGTCCAAATCTTGCTTTTGTTATTTCATGTCTTGTAAATGTTAAGAGTATTTTTCAAAAACAAATCTCAGCTTGTCTATTTTACTAAGAGACTGAGGTGGAAGACGAGACTTGATGTAGGGAACTCACGTCACTCCATCATGTGAAACAATCATTATAAAAAATGAGATGATAAATATGCAAATAACTAAAAGACTGTGCCCTTTAGACAGCATCTATCTTGGATTTATTTTTACAGGTGACTCTAATTTAAAAAGTCTTTAAAACTTGAACTTCAAACTTTTGTACTTGACTTTAAAACTTGAGCAAATTCTCCAAATCAGGTAGAGGAAATGCAGCTGCATCAGCCACAGAACTCTGAACCTGTGGGAATCTTTCAGAGCAAACAGGTTTGCCATGAAAATGGTACATTAAACGACCATCTCAGACTGAGTTAGACAAAAAAAAAAATCTCAAACCAAACCAAAGATATACTTTGGAAAATAAAACCACAGAAGCTAGCTGACATGAGAAGTTAAAAAAAGTACAGATAACAGCCTTTGAATTACAGTATACTAAGTTTGACAGCTGACTGGGAAGAAGAGCTAGCATGAGTGGGGTGTTTGGAAAGGATCCCTTTTGCCTCAGGCAAACTGAGGCCTAGAGGAACCTTGTGGCTCCGCTTGTAGTTGAGCTTAGCAAGCATCCAAGCACCATGACGCCAGCCAGGGTCACTATTTTACATTTGACAGATGGCTTTGGAATAATTTACCAATGCCACTGTGAGTGTGAAAGCAGAGAATTAACAAGGATGCACATCAAGCCATGAAAACCCCACCTTTAACTTGGCATGTCTGACACCATCTGTATACTGCCAGCATGTACACAATCTTTTTCAGCTTCCCTTCCCTGCTCATTTTTCTTAGACCTTCTCAGAGCTGAGACCTTCTAGCTCTTGTTAGTTTTGACCACCAAAGGTTATTGTGGACTTACCTCAGCTGCTCCTTGCTCTGTCCCCACAGGTCAATGGTCTTCTCAGGAGCCATGTGCAGGTCCAGGTTGCAGACATTTGGTTTTTGGGGGTATAGCTTGAGACACTGTTTCACCCAATGACGTTGGCACCCCGGGAGGAAAGGGTTTGGTATGAAAATAAACCCTGACCACATAGAAAAAAGGGATCAGGTGAGGAGAAACTATGATTAGGCATTTCCCTGCTTTTTAGAAAACTATTGCAAAGGACAGGGGTTGGAGGTACTGAAGAAGCACCTCTGCTATACAACCACTGACTTCACAGGTAAGTTGATGGAATCTATTAACAGGTCTGAATACTCAAGTTAAAACCTATTTTTTTTCAGTACAAAACCAGTGGTGATGAAGTAGAAGGCAGGGAGGGCAGACAACACTAGTCCAAGTAAAAAATTACAATATAGGACATACCTGTGTACAGCATATTGATTACAGAGAGATAAAGGAGTAAGAACTTGGAAAGCAAATTGCTTTGGAGTAAATTTGATTTTGAAATTATTCAGAAAGATCTGTCTCTTGAACCCTGGAAAGTTAAAGGAATTCCGGCCTAGTTTTTCTACACTTCAAACGAACCTTGTTGCTGTCTCTGAACTCATCCTGTCTTCTTACTGCTGCTTCAGTGTCATAAACTACAGAGAGCAGTCCACAGGCTGAGTGAGTCTCTAGTAAACTGTCCTCTCCTTTGTTTCATAATTATTTCCAGCTAAGTCTGGCTGCATCTTTCTGTATTTTGGTACAGTAATACTCATCAAATGGGATGAAAGTCAAATTATATCCCAAACTGCTTGTTGCTGACTGCAAACACTTAGCAGTTACTGTTAATTAACAAGACAAAATAAAGATGTCTGCACATTGCTTTAGCCAGGTACCTCAGACATAGTTTGAGCAGCAGCTCAAATAAGAGGGTTAGCAGAGATGTAATGGCTGAATTTGGTCTGTATGTTAACAAACAAGGGCCCCTGACACAAGGTCTGCCATCTCCAGGAGTGCTAACGGGATTCTTCACTGGCGTTTTCTCTCCAGCAGCCCAGGTGTGTTTCCTTCCAGGCCAGAGCAGATGGTATCAATGAATGTGTGACAGCAAGATGCTATTAATCTGTATGGTACCTGCTCAGAGAACCAAGGCACTCTCTCAGGGGCTGTCAACTCAGTAAGATACCCCAACACAAAATTCAGACACAAAGACAGATAAGGGTATGGAAGGAACAAAGGAAAAGGGTGTTTCAAGGTTTTGCCCTACTGTGTCGTTTTGAACTTCTCAGTCCTATCAACTTAAGCAGACAAAAACAGATGGACAAGGAAGAAGCAAGGCTAGGAGTCTCAGTAGATACAAAATTGCCTTGTGGCCTTATGAAAGTGTTAATAAACTCACAGAAGAAACTTTCTGCTGGCCCATCTCTCAAGACCTCACAAGACTAAATTAACTGGTTAGAAAAGGAGCCTTCAGTGTATTAATATACTGTCATTCATTCCACTGCATTCCTTGCATGTTCAGACTATGGTAGCCTTCTGACAGGTTTAGTTAGAAAAGGTTTCTTTGCCACAAGTATTAAATTTACTTTATGTTGGCCTCTGCACAGAACATAATAACAATAATAATAATAATATTGCCCTTCCTGCCTACAGCTTTTGATGTGGTGTTCTCAAAGCACTTTACTACGTTCATGAAATTACACTCTACTATGTATGTATTATCTCCAGGTATTAATGAAGAAATTGAAGCCTGGAGGGCTAGTTATACACAGAACTGAGCACAAGAATCCGAGTTTTATGATTCTTGTATTGGCAGCTTAGAATATGCTCATGTCTCTCCAAACCTTTCATTGCTTAATCCCAAGAAACCAGATTAGTCTAGATTTACAAAAGCAAGAACAACTAAGAAGCAGATTAGAGCTATGCTTCTGATGTCAAGAAAGGCAGAAACCCCTGAATTTCTAACAGTTGCAGATTTCTAACGTTCAAGACTAACAGTTCCTGGGAGAGCAAATGGTGCAGGAAGTCAGTGAGTTTCCACACAGAGAGGGAGAAGAGTACAAAATGTATTTCTGTAGCAATGTTTCTGAGCTGAATAAAAAACACCACAGGCAAGCTTAGAGGGCAACACAGCTGAACCTCTTGGCCTTGAAAGAGTTGGTTTGAGTGGAATGGCCAAAAGACAAATTCTTTGGGGATCTGTATGCTGCAGGAATGTGCCTCAAGGAAGCAGATGCAGTTTTCTTACTGCAGCAAAATCTTGCGGCACACTAGGAATTAATTTTATAGCTACTGAAAGTGGTCTCCAGCCTCGGTCAAAGGAAGGATAAGACACACAGATGTCTAGCAATAAGAACAACCCCTCATAAAACCAATTTGTGTCAATTACAGAGACTCAGAGACAGCATCACCCACATCACACAGAGCTCAGGACACTGCAACAGAAAATCCATCCAGCTTCCTCAGTCTTCTCTTTCATTGCTCACTGTGGGGACAAAACCAAATGACTTCCCTTCCATATGCCCACAGATGAACTGAAGAAATTCTGATTTCTTTTAGAGGGCTATTTGGGCAGTTGGTTAAATATTTTATAGTGCTTTAAGGTGTCCAGATAAAGGTAGCTGATAAAATATTATCATCTTCCACATATGACTTGATTCTAAACAGGACTGAGAATTTTCTAAATGTATTTACATTTCATTTTAGCAAAGGTTTTCTTTGTCAAAACACAAGAAAAAATGCAGTTAGGTGGAACACTTGAGTTCCCCTCCCCGATGTAATTGTTTGGAAAGACATTCAGACAAACATAAAATGACAAGTGAGACCAAGCGAGGGCAGCTATGACAGGTAAGTGGAACAAAAAAATGTATAGAGTCAAGAAGAGGTGGAAGCCTTTCTCCTGAAGTTATTAAACTTCCTGTGTAATAACCATGCCAGATGGCTAGTGTGGCTGCCTCAGTTTCAGAAATGGTAGGCTGGCTTCATAGCAACCCACAGAGACACCGACTGCAGACCCCACAAACTGCGAGAAACGTGGAAAAAAAAATTAAAAAAAAAATCAAATGAACAAAAATCCCCCACCTACAGAGGATCTGAGGAACTACAAATCCATCAGCTTTACCAAAAGCCCTGGTAAGATTATGGAGCAAACTTTCACGACAGCCATTTCCAGGCATACAGTGGTTGAGAACAGTGAGGACGGATTTACTGAAGACAAATTTTGCCTAACCAGCTACTGAAAGGAAGTTTTTTTCTAACCAGCCTTGCTGCTGGCTACAGTGAGATGCCCAGACAAGGGGGGAGCAGAGGATGCTGTTTACCTTGGCTTTAGCAAAGTTTTCCAGTCAGTTTCCTGCAGGATCATTGGAGCCAAACTGGGGACTTGTAGTTTACCCATAAAATCCATAAGGGTGAACAAAAGCTGGCTGGGCCATCAGGCTTAAAGAAACAGTGATTTGATGGTTCAAAGTCTAGCCAGTGGCTGGTATGAACTGCATTTCTCAGGCTGATACTGGGGACAAGGCTGGTAACTACATCCACCACCAGCTACCTGGATGGTGGGACATTCCTCATCACACTTGCGGATAATACAAAATTGGGGCAGCAGCTGGTATGCTGGAGACTACTGCTGCCTCTGAAAGGGACGTTAGCAAGTGGAAGGAATGGGTCAACAAAAACCTCATGACGTTCAACAGCACCTAGAGCAGAATAACTCCATGCAATGGTACAGCAAGTCAAGGGTCCAGGGTGTGTTGGAGGACAAACTGAGCACGAGTCAGTAGTACACCCTTGTGGCAACGACGGCTGATGAGACGCTGGCCTGTATTGCTCAGAGCTACCTGAAGGGGCATTATGAAGGTGGAGCCACGTGCTTCTCAGAGGTGAATAGCAAGACTGAGAGGGAACAGTAAAACATTACAGCAAAGCAAATTTTGATTAGCTAAAAGGTGAAAAAAAAAACCCAAACCAAAATCACACGTCAGCTGACTCTTTTGTCCTCATGCATTTAAAATAAATTACAGTTAGGCGAACCAAAATACCTTTTTCAGGCAGGGCAAGGAGGATAAGACTGAAGATGTCTGAATTCAAAGCAACAAGGTTGTATTTAATTTTTCCTGAGATCAAAAGTACCTACCTGGGTACCCATTGAGGCCATAGGCTTTCCACTGGCTAACTGGCTGTAATCCTGCTCTGTAGGCATCTTGATCACTGACTGAAGAAACACTGAGCTGTGATCTGAACACCTGGCATAAGAAATTGGATCTGGTTAAAAAAATACAAAACTCATTCAAAAATAGCACCTATAAGAAACAGCATTACCATATTCCAAGGTAGGTCGCATGAAAATGCCAACTGTACCACAGAACTATTGTCTAAGCAACTGTGACCAGACCAGGGCATGCTGCTAACAAAGCTAGTATGTACTCAACAGATGAATCAAAAGGTGACTACAATTTTTACAATACTTAGGGATACAGAAAGATGTCATAAAAAATGTTCCAATTAATAAAAAAAATCTGAGCAATTTATAACAGTGAGAAAAAAATTGGCACAATTTGTCGCTTTGCACAGTACGGCCTCAGCTTTACAATATGTTCTTGTAATTATCAATCACCATTAGAGAGCAACATTTAGTACCCATGACACTTCATATCTTCAAAGACTGTTCCAGATACAAGTTGCTCATGATCCCATAGGGTAAATGACTATTCTCATCTGGCATTTGCAGAAGTAGTGATGAAGTGGCCAAAGTTGTCAGATGTGAACTGCAGAAGCCCTGCAAATTCTGCATACCACATTGCCACATCTGTTTCCCACAGCAGGGTCAACAGCTCCAGGCTTAGCAAGATACATTTTCTTGACATACTCTCTCGGGTTGCAACAACATATGTATTTAAGCTGCAATAAGCCCACACTTGCTGAAAAAAAAAAAACAAACAACCAAACCTCAACTGTGTTCCCACTCCCTTTTTCCCTTAGGGCTGGGAACCATCCTAGGGCAGGCACGGTAGAGGCAGGTTAGTTTTGTTGTAGCTTATTTCCCCAGTCTGGCTCTCCATGTGGTTATGCAAAAGTACAGGCTTGTGTAAGGACAGAGCTGTCCAGGCACAGCGGGAATAAGCAGGCAGAGACAGACAAGACTTTATGACAATTTAAAGTGTATATGAAACTAAAGCCTTTGCACGCAGACTGCAGTGGTGACGTGTAAATCAGTCTCTCTGCAGGCTGACAGATCTTAGAATCACAGAATCATAGAAT